GTGTGTGTGTGTGTGTGTGTGTGTGTGTGTGTGTGTGTGTGTGTGTGTGTGTGTGTGTGTGTACACCGAGTTCTGGCCAGCGCTCTTCAGACCTGCTTGTGCTGTTACCCTGCTGTGAAAATCCCCCGGGGCAGCACTGCTGAAATAAAGCCCCGGGGCATTATGGGAATGTGAAAAAAATTTCTTTAAGTGCATGAATGCTGCTCATTTTACCAAAGAAATTTACTTTGATGTCAAATTTAACATCATAAACATAAATTAAACCACTAAAAAATACACGGCAATGAAGAAATCCGGGTTTAAAAATGCCATGAAGGATTAAAAACGTTCTCTAAATGAAGTTACTGTATAATTACATTTCTATTAATTAGCTTTGAGATGAACAGCTATGCTAAATTTACTGTAAATTTTAAAATGAGTTCAAATTTAGCATAAAAGTGACCATAAATATTTATAAAATTTAATTCAATATCAGCAAGAATAGAAATAAATCTAAACTAAAATTAATTTAATATTAACTATGAGATTAAAAGTCTCTTTAAATTTACTGTAAAATTACATTTATATCAAACATCCATGAGATATAATTAATTTTACAATAATTTATTTATTTAAATTTTTTTAATGTAATTTAAATTTTACAATAAAATGAATTTAGTACTAAATAGCTGTGATATTAAAGTTACGCTTAATTTAATTAATTAATTAATTTAGTATTAAATATCCATGTAATTAAGTTTTAAATTTTACTGTTAAATTAATTTGGTGTTAAATAGTCACATGATAAAAAGTTAATCTTAATTTACTGTAAAATTCAGAATGAACCATTTGAAATATTAAAAATTACACAAATTTATTATAAAAATAAATAAGCATTAAATATCCATGAGATTTAAAGTTACTTTAAAGTTACAGTCAAATTCGATTAGCAGAAAACAGACGTGACATTAAAGCGATGAATTAAAACTGAATTTTTAAAATGTTGGTATAAATTTGATTGAATTTGTTGAATATTTCATTTTGCTTTAATTTATCTTGAGGTGGAATTTCCAGGCATTCAACATGGAAAAAAAAAAGAAAAGAAAAAGAATCCTGAGATAAAGTTTACAAGCGACGTAGCCGTGTTTGTCTCGACCGAGTCGCACCGTCTCATCAGTAAAACACTCAGTTTGGTTTACGATGATAAAGATGATAAAGTTTATGATGATAAAGATGATAACTTTATCTACATTTAGCCACATATCACTGCCACATCATCATATTAACTGTGCATCTGTATTTTTATTTATACCACCTGCAGAAAGATATTCAGAAAGTTATGACATCTGTAACAAAGCAAATGTTAAAATCTGTGTAACAAAACAGCCAGTTACATTTGATTTTCATCAGGTTGGTCCTGAATGGAGCTTATTGGACCTCTCCAATATGGCGGACGCATTGACGTAAGATCGTAGCTAGCAACAGCAGGTGGCGTCTACTGTTTTCAATATGGGGTTAAACTGAATTTCAGTTTCTAATACAGATTGCGCCACCTGCTGACACGTCAGATTATTACAAACGTTTTAGAAAACACATGATTCATTTACACCTTAACATTGTGTTGAATTAAAATATATTTTATATATATATATATTAACAGAAATCACATCTGGCCCACTGCTGGTTATCTATATCAAGAATTAGATAACACCCTTTATTTAGTGCACTTTGTATGCATTTAGGACTGAGCCCGTTATAAAGGTAAACAGCAGACGCCGAATTAGCCGCTTTTGCTAGCTGTTACGACACGTCTATGAGTCCGCCATGTTTGAAAGGGCAATTGTGGGGCCAGAACGAGTCTATGGAGTCTATGAAGAGTTAAAAGTCACCTGTAACTCGCTTTGTGCTTAACAGAATTTCACCAGAATGGTTGCTTATTTAACAAATGTCATAAATGTGATGTAAATGTAAATAAATATGTCTATATTTTAACATAATTTCTGCCTTAACTCCTCTTGGATAAAATAGAAACACATATTCTCAGATATTCCAATACTCACATTTAATAATAATAATAATAATAATAATAATAATAATAATAAACGTAGAAAGTAATTTCTTGTTCTATTGTTTTTTTTAGGAGTATCAACGATAAGATCTTGTTTAGCGCTGTATGTGGAAGCGATGACGTTCCCCTCCAAGATGGCGGTGCGTTTGACGCGTCCGGCTTCCAGTGCCACGCTTCCGGTATGAGCTTTCGCGTTGCACGCTGGGACGCGCTCGGCGTTTCGCGTTTCGTTCTTAGCTAATCAAGATGGCGGAGAATATTTTGTTCAGGGACTGGAGTTGAAGCGCAGGAGCGGAATTTGGATTGCGGGAGATTGTGATGTTGAGCGGAAGGATTTATTCACCCCGAACAGAACATCTTCAGAAGTAAGCTGTCAAAATGCCACCGTTTTGTGGTTGAATGTAAAAAAAAAAAAAATGACGCAACGCAAAAGCATGGTGGTTTTTTTTTTCTTTTTTTTTTTTTTGGGGGGGGGGGGGGGGGGAGGAGGGGGGGGGTTCGGCGGGCTAGCTAGGTTGCTAGCTAAGTTGGCTAATCAGTAAGGTTTGGCTAGGAATGCTAAGAACTGGGTTTATGGAAATTTTTTAACTTAAAAGAAGAAGTGTTTGTTTTGTGTTTGGTAAATATTGCAGTGATAAAACTGCGAGAACATTTCTAGCTAGTTGCGTGACTCGAAAGTAGAGGTTGTTTTTAGCTAACATCTGATATGCTAGCTAGCTAGTTGTTTGCTAACTAGCCGATTCGGTGCTAGTTATTTTTCAGTTTAAAGGCGCTGACAGCTGCAGCTCGGTGTCTCTCTGGCTCTGTGACTCTGTCCTGCTTTCTGGGGACCAGATTCAGGATTTATATTTAATCCTCCAGCTCGTTTTTTTGGAGGTTTTGTGTCTCTGTGCGGTTGTTGAAGTGTTTGTGCACAGTCATACCCCCGTGTCCTCCATGGGAATCAGCTTACAGCCTGCACACACACTCTTACACACACTTACTTCTTCATTGCGACATCGTGTGTGTGTGTGTGTGTGTTTTGTTTCTACACACACCGTGTGTTGTTGCATTTTGTTTTAATCCCATCCTCCTCCTTTTAACCTTTAACCACACGCTCCCTGTCAGTGCAGTGCAAAAGTTTTCGCACCCAGGTCTCTTCACACAGTCAGTATTTCCTCTTTTTTTTTTCTTTTTTTTTTACTTAATGCATGCTCAAAAAAAGTCGCCAACTGACGTCACATTCTCATTGACATACTCATTAAACTGTCATCGTTTGCGAAGAAGGAAGATGTCTTTTTCCGTACAAAGTTTATTATTTTCCTGTAACAGCACGTCCCAGAGTGTTATTCCTCTTACGCCACGTCAGTTTTTATTTATTAAACTATGACGCGCCGTATTTTTTATCCGTTTGTAGTTACATATATTCCTCTGTGAGACATGTTAGTTCCTGTTATCACTTGCGTTACAGCAGCTATAAACGTGAAGGTCGTTCCCTCACCACCTTGTTGTTTTTAATCTGTCGCTTGATGTTAATAAGACAGAAAACAAAAAACAAAAACGCAGCTTGTCGTATTACAGAGAAACCGCAAAATGCGTCAACAACTCTGCCCTGAAGATGTCGGAAAACTTCGTCACAGTTTAACTTTGACTGTTACTGGAGACTCCTTCCATAAATGTTAAATAAACGTCTCTGTGCATATAAACAATGTTCTTTTATAAAATTCAAGTCTCTGTAAACGACTGAAACGAAAACGTATATGAACGAATGCATTAATATAAACCTGCGCTACTGTCAGAGCTGCTGCTGTTATAGAAAATTAATCAACACCTTCTGACCAATCAGGAACAAAATTAAACACAAGGTTTTTCTAATTTCACTCTTAGCTACGAAGTTATGCCGTCAGTGTTACGTAGTTCTGTGGTGGTTTGAATCCTGCGTTCTTCAGCACTGAATGTTAATTTCCCCATCGCCATGGTGATTTCATAGTGGCTCAGTGGGTAAGGCATCGGTCTACTGAGCGGAAGGTCATGAGTTCAAATCCCAGAACCGCTAATCTTCCCTTGAGCAAGACCTTTAAATGTAACGTATTGTCCTTTCATATTTTAAATCGCGCTGGATTAAGTTACGTTCACACATACAGCAATTTTATCACTGCAAGTTGCCAGTAGGCATTCCTACTACTAGTTGCCGTAGTAACATTTATCAGGTGGTGCAACTAGCCTTCCACTTTTGACAACGAACCAGTTTTCTTGTAGCTAAACATTCTGGACGGAGAGAGTTTGAATATTAAATTCACGAGTGTGTGCATTTGTCATATCATTAGAGATGAAGGAGAAGCAGCGTGCGCTGTTTGCCATTGCGTCCATCTGTCATCTCTCTGCGGTGAACGCTCAAGCGCCAATTAGCGTAGCTTAGCATATGGCCTTAGCGCGTTTAAAGCTACGGATCACGTGCGCTCTACTGTCTTCATTCCCGTTGGTAGTCGCTGCACCAAGTCGCTCTAAATTTGCAAAAGTTATAGTTGAAAAGTTAAACTTTTCTCGACTTCGTTGTGTCGCTGCACGCATTGTTATTGGGAACAATGTTGATCACTGATTGGTCATTGGGAATAGTGATTGGTCTGTGGAAACAGTGTTGATCAGTGATTGGTCATTGAAATTAACACTGATCAGTGATTGGTCGGTAGAAACAACGTTGATCAGTGATTGGTCGATGGGAACAACGTTGATCAGTGATTGGTCGGTGGAAACAACGTTGATCAGTGATTGGTCATTGAAATTAACACTGATCAGTGATTGGTCGGTAGAAACAACGTTGATCAGTGATTGGTCGATGGGAACAACGTTGATCAGTGATTGGTCATTGAAATTTAATGTTGATCAGTGATTGGTCGGTGGAAACAGTGTTGATCAGTGGTTGGTCTTTGGGAATAACATTGATCAGTGATTGGTCTTTGGGAACAGTGTCGATCAGTGATTGGTCTTCGGGAACAGTGTCGATCAGTGATTGGTCTTTGGGAACAGTGTTGATCAGTGATTGGGAACAAAAAATTTGTGAATAAATTGTAAAATAGTGATATCTTTTACCTTTTCAGCCAGAAAGCAGGGCACGGGAGTGGGGGTGCTAACTTCTGCACACAAGTGTACTACACTTTGGGTTGTAAATATGTTGTAAATGCTTTTCACGCTTGTTAAATGTTATGGATCGCTTCACTGATTAATTTATTTTGTGTATAATTTAAGTGTCATGCGAATATCTACCATATTTTTATCTGTTGTTGCCATTCGTAGGGATCAGAGGATCGATTGCTTGTAGATCGAAATCGTCAATTATTGGCGCGAGTATGCGATCGGCGATCATATGAGCCGATCAGAGACGCAAAGCGTGAGCCAGTTGTATGTGTACAGAAGTGCTTGCAATTCTACGGTTCGTTATACTCCGAGCGCAGCTTCAGAATGGAAAGTTGTGCAGTTTGGCTCAGAGCTAACTCAACCTCTCGTCGTCAACAGGATTGTTTCCTGACCACGTTTTGTTCTCTCTAGAGTTCAGAGAAGGAGTCCAGCTTTGGAAACTTTAAGCAAGTCTAATGTAAGTATCCGCTTCCACATTTTCACTTTATTTCCACTCTCTTTGTATAGCCAAAATTGGATATGCGTGGCATGTTGAATGGTATTTTATCTCTCAGTAAAATACTGTCAGCATTTTCTGTCTTTCTACATGGCATCAAGTGTAAATAATGCATGCAGCCAGATTGCAGCTAGCATGAAACATTTCTTGCAAAAGTCATGTTGCATGCGTGTTGGCACATGAAGAGCGTCTGTTACAGTAATCAACCTCTTCATAAAACGTTTAACTTTGGTCGTGAACTCAATGCTTAAGCTTCTCTGGTCCTTGATCGTCTCTGTAGTCCTGGAATGGTGTACAACCTAAACATTTTGATTGTACAAGAAGGGATCACTCTGTACAGACTCCCAGATTCGAACCGTACTAATCCAGCGCTGTCCGGTTTGAATGTGTGCTACAGGAAGCGAGCGGCTGCAAAACATCTAATTGAGCGCTACTACCACCAGTTAACCGAGGGCTGTGGAAATGAGGCCTGCACGAATGAGGCTTGTGGCTCCTCCCCAGGTTTCCGGCGCATGGATAACAATGCAGCGGCCATCAAGGCCCTGGAGCTGTATAAGAATAACGCCAAACTATGTGATCCCCATCCCTCCAAAAAAGGCGCCAGCTCGGCTTTTCCGGAGAACAGTGCCAAAGGAGCTCACAACTTTTCTGCTTGCAGCAACGGGAAGATGAACCACAAGGACCTGCCTCCCACCAGGGAAGACTTTAGAGGTAAGCGTAGGACCTTGTTTTGTTTTGTTTTTGTTTTTGTTTTTTCGTGGTCGTCATGTTTTGTTTTGTTTTGTTTTTTTTTTCTTTTAATATTTCAGATTTGAATTACTTGACGGAGGAGAAGGTATATGAAATTCTGGCCGTCTGCAGTGAGACGGAGGACTACTCCCCTCTGATCCGCGTAATCGGGAGGGTGTTCTCAAACGCCGAGAGCTTAGTGCAGAGCTTCCGCAAAGCCAAGCAGCACACCAAGGAGGAGCTGAAGTCACTGCAGGCCAAAGACGAGGACAAGGACGAAGATGAGAAAGAGGCCGCCTCGGCTTGCGCCGGCACTGCTATGGAAGTGGACCCGGATGCGGCATCTTCGAGTGAAGGAGCGTCCGGCGACAACGTCCGGAAGCCTGTGGAGGTGTCTGTGGACATTGAGGCAGTGCGGAGAGTTTACGACAGGCTGCTGTCCAATGAGAAGGTGGAGGCGGCCTTCCTGAACGCACTGGTGTACCTGTCGCCCAACGTGGAGTGCGACCTTACCTACCACAACGCCTACGCCGCCGATCCTGACTACCTCAACGTGTTTATCATCGTGATGGAGAACAGCAACCTGCACAGCCCCGAGTACCTGGAGATGGCACTACCGCAGTTCTGCAAGGCCATGAGCAAGCTGCCCCTTCCTGCTTTAGCCAAGTTGGCACGACTGTGGGCGCAGCACGGTGCGGAGCACATCCGGCGTCTGCTCGAGACCTTCCAGCAGCTCATCACGTACACCGTGATCAGCAACGAGTTCAACAGCGACAACCTTGTCAACGAGGATGACGGCGTAGTAGCAGCCACCAAGTGCCTGAAGGTGGTCTACTACGCCAACATCCTCGGGGGCGACCTGGATATCGGGCACAGTGAAGACGAAGACGACGAGCCCGTGGCAGAATCGAGTGAGCTCACGCTTCAGGAGCTGTTGGGTGAGGAGCGCCGTGCCAAGAAAGGCCCACGCGTGGACCCGCTTGAAACGGAGCTTGGCATACGCGTCTCAGACTGCCGCAACCCCCTTGTCCCTTTTGATGAGTTCATCAACGAGCCTCTCAACGACGTGCTGGAAATGGACAAAGACTACACCTTCTTCAAGGTGGAGACGGAGAGCAAGTTCTCTTTCATGACCTGTCCGTTTATCTTGAACGCCGTCACCAAGAACCTGGGCCTCTACTACGACAACCGCATCCGCATGTACAGCGAGCGCAGGATCACGGCGCTCTACAGCCTGGTGCAGGGACAGCAGCTCAACCCCTACCTGCGTCTCAAAGTGCGTAGAGACCACATCATTGACGACGCGCTCGTCAGGGTGAGTCCTCAGCATGCTGGCTACTTAGAATTTTACAAGAACATACGAATAATAATTTGTATAGAGATACAGAGATACAATGTTGTATTTTTGATGTTTGAGATGTTTGCGTTCATGTTTGATTTCAGCTGGAGATGATCGCCATGGAGAACCCAGCCGATCTGAAGAAACAGCTGTACGTGGAGTTTGAAGGAGAACAGGGCGTTGATGAAGGAGGAGTTTCCAAAGAGTTCTTTCAGCTCGTAGTAGAAGAAATCTTCAATCCCGATATAGGTACTCATCAACTAAGACCTTTTTTTTTCTTTTCAAAGTCTGTCTGTGGAGGAGAAACAGGCAGAAACACACATGATGTGGATGCACCAACATTCAGCCAATCAGAGGCCACAGTTTAAAGTAACTGCTTTCCTCCCTTTTTAAAATGCCATTTTTAATGCCATTTAGGATTTTTTTTTTTTAGGTTTGGAGCTGCTTTTAACACTAAAATGCTTTGTGAATTTCTCCTGAACTAAAAAAAAAAATGAAGAGTCAATATTATTTGGTACTAATTTTGTTAAATTAAAATGAACTTGTTTCTAAAATTTAAAACATTAGTATGAAACACAAAAAAGAGTTTCTCCCATTAGGAGCTGCTATTAGTGTTAAAATTGTTGTGAGATTAAATCTTAAAATAAGGTAACGAAAGAAACATTAACTTCTAAACGTCTAAATTTGCTAGTTAGGAGCTACTTTTAGTTTTAAAATCCTTTTAAATTACTCTTAGTCTAAATAAAAGTCAAATTCCTAAAATTTGAATAAAAATCTGGCAAATAAGACTATTTTTACTGTTAAAATTACTCTTAAACCAAAAAAAAAAAAATACTTAATTTAAATACATAATAAAAAACATAAATTTAAAATATTCCTCTAAATATGTTAGGTGCTACTTTTAGTGCTAAAATGCACATGAACGGAGAGTCCTGAAATTAGGATAAAAAACACATTAAAAAAAAAAAGGTTCCTCCCAAATTTGCTTGTTAGAATCTTCATTAATGCTAAAATGCACATGAAATACTTTTTAGACTGAAAAAATTCTTAAAATTAAGATGAAATGCATGCGAGTTCCTCTTAGACTGGAAAGATTACACTGTTTAGACTCCAAGTCTTGAAATTAGAGTAAAACAAATTTTAAAAAATGAAGTTTCTCCAAAATTTGCCAGTTAGGAGCAGCTACTTATAGTCTTAAGGTTTTTAGTGAGCTTGGTGGTTAGTAGTTTTAGTCTTAGTTTTAGCTGAAGTGTTTGTGTTTTGGGGGCGTGGCTTTGTTTAAATACTTGTATGTTTGCACAAATCGTGTCTGCAGTAGAGTTGATGTTACTGTTTTTTGTGAGCGAACCTAAATATCG